CCTCCTCCTCCTCCTCCTCCTCCTCCTCCTCCTCCTCCTCCGGAATGCAGCGAAAGTCGGCGGGGGGCACCCCAGACCTGGGGCACCTCTGCCGACCGCCCGCCTGCGCCCGCTCCGATGGGCCGCGCCTGCCGCTGCGGCGGTGCCGCCTCCTGGCCAACCCCGCGGTCTGGCCGGCGCGGCCGCGCGGCGGCCCCCTCCGCACCTCCCCTGGCGGGGCGGAGGGCCCCTCTGGAGGCTCCGCCGGCAGCGCCGGGGGCCGCCGTCTCCCTGCAAGTCCAGGGGCAAGGAGACGGAGGGTCGCTTCCTGTGGTAGGCCTGCTTTCCACCACCACCAAGGCCACCATAAGTTGGCGGAGGAGGGGGTCCTCCTCCTCCTCCTCCTCCTCCTCCTCCTCCTCCTCCTCCTCCTCCTCCTCCGCCTCCCCTCCTCGCCTCCGCGCCTCCGCCTCAACTTGTGGTGGTGGTGGTGGTGGAAAACAGGCCCATCGTCCTGCGCTCTCGGAAGCTGCGCTGTCGGCCTCCGGAGGAGCGGGAGCCGGGTAGTGCCCGCCGTCGCCGGCAGGTGCTCTCGGGGAAGCCGCCGGCCACGGTGGGCGCCCGGGCGCGCGAGGCTCGCTTCCCTTCCTCCTCCTCCTCCTCCTCCTCCTCCTCCTCCTCCTCCTCCTCCTCCTCATCCTCCCTCCTCCTCCTCCCTCCTCCTCCTCCTCCTCCTCCTCCTCCTCCCTGCTCCTCCTCCTCCCTCCTCCTGCCTCCTCCTCCCGCCTCCTCTCCTCCTCCGCCTCCTCCTCCTCCTCCTCAGCCTCCCTCCTCCTCCTCCTCCTCCTCCTCCTCCTCCTCCTCCTCCTCCTCCTCCTCCTCCTCCTCCTCCGCAAAGTCGCCCGCGGCGACGACGGCACAAGCGAAGGACGACCGAACCGACAGCGAAACCGCACTGACGGGCCGCAGGCAACCTAGAAAGACGCAGCGGCACGGCAAAGACACGACACCCGACCAGATCGCGGTAGCGCAACAACACTCGGAACAAACAACAAAGTATAGCGATAAAAATCGCAGCAACAACACTCGCAGCAAACTCGACCGAATCGCGATACCGCAACAACACTCGCAACCGAATCGCGATAGCCCAACAAACAACAAGACAAACAACGCAACCGATTGCGCCGTAGCCGAACCGACCGAACTGCTGACAGTCTCTCCCAGATCTGAGGAAGGGTTGAGTTGGGGGGTACGGGCTCATCCAGGGGTGGTTGAAATTGGGGTGGCCGAAAGCCCGAATACGGCCCAAGAGAACTGCAAGAGACCCCGAGATGGCCCAAGAGGCCCTGTGGAAAGGCCCTAGACGGACCAACTGGCTAACAAGACGGCAAGGAAGGATAGCCTGGCCACAGCCGTACGGGGCAAGCAAGGCACATGCCGATGTTGCCTTACGTGATACACGGCGGTTGCGCTGTTCACTTCGAGGTGGGGGCGCATGCCTTTCGAGCATCTACACGTTGCTGCCACTTCCATTGCATGCTTCCTCGTGTCATATTGCAGTGGTTGGTTGTCGTCACTCCCATGTGCGTGGTTGGCTTGTCTGTCATAGCACATGGCCGCCCAGCGCATCTCACTGAAGTAGCATTTGCGTAGAGGACAAGAGGATTAGAAATTCTCGCGGTAGGCTAGAACACACAATAGAAGTCGTTTGTTCGTTGGCCGTTCTCTAGCCCATGCCAGCACACCCCTCACAGGGATCGTGCCCAACAAGGAATTCCACCTACGGCTTTCATGAGTGTATTCGCATGCGGTCCCCAGCAACATTTCGACACACTCTTCGCGCGGATCGTGTTCCACAGGGAAAACTACCTACGGCCCCAATGGGCGTGTGCACAAATGGTACCCAGCCTATTCCGGCACTCCCCTCACACGAGTCGTGTCCCACAAGGACCTCCACCTACGGCCCAGATGTGCGTGCTTGCTTGGGGTCCCTGGCCCTTGTCGGTAAACCCCTCACGCAAACCGTGCCCCGTAGGAAGCTCTACCTACGGCCTCAATGGATGTGTTCGCATGTGCTTCCAGCCCTTCGGCACACACCTCGCTCGGGCCGTGCCCCACGGGGACCTCCACCTACGGCCTCAGTGCGCGTCCGCCTCGTGCCAAAAAAAGCTCCGCTGACAATTGGGCCACCGTGTCCAGACCCAAAAGCGCTGGAACGCGGAGATAGCGTCATGCACTGCGCACGCAGACGTTTAAGCAGCCAACCATGTACGTGAACGATCATTCAAACATGAATGGCTCACCAAACAGAGCTTGCACCAAGGGATTGTTACTCTGGCTACTATATCCGACGCCGTGCCTGCGCGTCACCGACGTGTTGGAATGCTGGTGGGCTGTCTGCAACAAAACAATGGACCCACGCTCCCGAGGCCACGAGCCTGCGGAAAAAAAAACAATTGGCCCGCGCTTTCGAAGCTAAGATGGCCCAAGATTCGATCGGTGTATTTGTGGCCATGCCCGCCTCGTGACCGTTCCGTGCGCTGGCTGGCTTTGCTAAGGGTAGTGGGCACCCGTGCTCGAATCGCGCCAACTCCGGTTGCTGGCTGACCTGTCCAGAAGCACACAGAACCTGCACCACATAGATTGCATTACGTACAGATCTGTTCAAAAAGAGGAGAAGAAGAAGAAGAAGAAGAAGAAGAATCTACTCTACCAACTTTGCGAGGGCGCCCCCTGGGACACTGCAATGTACAGATGGCTCGGCCTGATCGTTCCTTAGCCATCTGGATTCAAACCATCCAAGCCAAGCCACCACTGACACCCCTGTTTCATCCATGCCATATAACACCATGCGAACACACGCGTTCATCTAAACCTGCCTCAAGAAGCCCCGAAGGGGGAAAAAAAAATGCACAGTCGACACACGCGCGCATGTTGGAATCATTCCAAACACCTTAGTTATGACACATTACTTCGTAAAACCTTGAAGCACAATGGTTCCTCATCCAAAATATTGCCGATATCCTGCCCGCAAGCATTTGTTCGAAATCGTGGAAACACCACGACACTTAAGCAATTTCGTCCCTCGTCCAGAGTCCGCATTCTCTTCTCACCACGCGGTGCATCCGCGCTGACCTAGCATTCACCCAGCGCGCTGGTCCGTATTAGATAATACGAACCGGACCACGTGCGCCCACCGCCACGCGCGCGTGTCGAACTTTGTTCCCATTCACTGGTTCCCGAAGCATTTCAAAATGGCGCCGCTCAGAAGCATGCGGGAAAACAAACAAACAAAACGGCACATACTCTAACAGATGTATTGCATGTTTGCGCGCGCATTCCCGCATCAGTTTCATCAGCGGCATCGCATCAGCGTCGTCATCGTCATCGCCATTCGCCGCAATTGCTGCCATCATCAGCTGTACAATCACCATCATCACCGACACGAGGACATCGCCACCATCATCACCAGCGCTGGTGCCGTCATTAACCTTGCCGTCGTCATCGTCATCACCGCTACCACCATCGCTAGTTCCGTCGTTGCCGTTGTTGCCGACGTCAACATGGTACCGCGCCCGCCCGAATCACCGACCCGCATTGAACTGCCCGCACGCCAGCGCGGCCTGTGAAACACGCTGGGAAGTTCCTACGTATACGTATCATCGCGACCGCATTAATTGTGCCAAAACCACATGGCCACTCTGCGCGCGAGCGCGTGCGCGCGCGCGCGCCAGCGCGACCAGAGATGCGCTAGCAAGTGCCAACCAGTAAGCGCAATCGTGGCCGAATGGGTCTTGTCGAACGAAGTGCATGGGGGAGAATGGGATGGCTGCGCAACTTGACGACTGCAACTTCGACAGACCTACTTGCCCCGCATAGGTTGCACTGCATAAACTCTCCCTTCTGAAAATATGATTCACCACCAAAACCACCACCACCCGGCTTTATCAATCCACCTTTCGTATCGCAATGTACAAATGATTCTGCTCTATCGTCCATCCTAAAGATGAACGCATACCATCCCAGCCAAGCTGGTATCGACCACCCCGCCATCCTCTGCAAAAAACATATGCGCGCACACCCGTTTATCAAAAATCATAAGTTCCCAACAGTCTTTTGCAAAAACGGGGCGAACAGCAAACGCGCGCGTCGTCGCGCGCGCATGCCGAAATTGGAAAGAAAAAAAAACAAAAAACAAAAAAAAAACAAAAAAAAAAAAAAAACAAAAAAAAAAACAAAAAAATCTGGTTCCGGAAGGACTGTAACATCGAGCGCCCAAAAAACATATCAAAAACAAATGGCTTCGCAACACGGATATCCGAAAAAAATGCGCGCGCGTTCTTGCAACAAACAAACCTAGGTTGTTCAACACTTTCAAAAAAAGAACCAAACGGACTTCGCGCACGCTGTCGAAATCGTTCGAACAGTTTTGCGCGCGTGCCGTCGCGAGAATCATTTGCAAAATAACGGGACGAAATGCACACGCGCGCGTCGTCGCGCTTCAAACCCGAGTTCCAAAAAAAAACATGTCAAAACCGAAAGTTTCGCAATATCATTTTTTTGTTAACAAAAAAAGTTTGCGCGCGCTTTCTTGCGATTTTTTGGCACAGAAAAAGGTTGTTCAACATCTGCATGGAATTCTGACACACGGGCCTCGGGCGCCGCATGCTGACATCATTCGCACGCCCTTGCGCGCGTGCCGGGGGACACGATCCGCGCAAAATAAAAACATGCGGGGCACTCTCGCGCGTCGGCCGCGCGCGCATGTCGAACTCTTTCCAAAACCTGCATCACCGACGCGAGGACGCCGTCATCGTCGTCGGCGTGATCAGCATCGGCGCCCGCACTGGGCGCGCCTTCGTCGGTGCGAACATCGTCACCAGTGTCGCCACGATCAGCATCGCGTCTGCCGTAGTCGGCGTTGCCATGATACCGCGCCCGCCCAAGTCGCCGACTCGCAGTGAAGTGCCCGCTGGGGTGCGCCCAGCGGTGAGCGCCACCGCGGCCGCGCCGGAGGCGCTGAACTAGCTGGCCGCTGCGCGCGCTTGCTAGGGTTGGCGCGGCCGCAGAGATGCACCAGCCAACGCCAAACATGCATCGCAATCGCCACCACATGGGTTTTGCAAACCAAGCTGCGGGTGGGTGGGTGGGATGGTTACAAGAGCAGGGGATGTGTCAGCTCATGGGTAAAAACAACTTTTTTATGCACAAAAAATGCGCCACTAGATCGCACCTCATTGCTTGCACCGAACAGCTTACACCACGGACCGTAGAGAGTATATCGCTTAGCTTGCACCACACACTTTCGACTGCAGCCCATAGGTTGCACCGCATAGATTGCACCCCAAAACCTGCACCGCATAGCTTGCACCACGTTGCACAACATAAATGACATCCCATAGACGCACTGCACCCCATACCTTGCACACCGTAGAGCGCATGCCGAAAGTGAAAGAACCCACCGTGTGAGGGTCCACGGCTTGAGGGCCCACGATGTCTGAGGGCCCCCGAAACGACCGAACCCGAAACGGATTGACGCATCTCGGGCGGGTGGCAATGGAGGGCGACCTCCTGCTGGGGGGGTGGAGGAGAGAGGGCACCAAAAGGGGACCCTGCAGGCCGCCTCTGGGGCCCCTGCTGGCTCCCGAAAAACGAGCCCCGAAGTCCCCCTCTCAGGCCTCGCTTCGTCATCCCGTGTTTCGGCCACCCCTTCGCCCTGGGTTCCTGTTCAAGGCGTTCCTTTGCATGCACTTCGCTTTCGGCACCGCCTGATCCCAGGGTTTTGCCCTCTCTTGGCCTTGACGTGAGGCCCCGCCTTCTTTTGCCCCCCCTCTGCTAATCAAAGCTGTGCGCGGCCCGCTGAGCTTCTATCGGAAGAGGCTCGCTCTCGACCCGCTGATCAAAAAAGTGTCGGCCACCCCGCATGGCCACCCGCCCGAGCACCTCCGGGGGGGGGGGGGGGGGGGCACCCGCTGCCTCTCCCGCGGGACCTCCGCCGACGGGGCCGCCCTCGCGGCACCTCCTCGGGCCTCCGCGGGCTGGCTTCTGCTGGCGGAGGCGCCTCACACCCAGACCTCCGACGCCGTGATCTGTCTACAACGTGGGACTCCTTGGCGGCGCGCGGAAGCAAAGCGGAGGAGGAGGAGGAGGAGGAGGAGGAGGAGGAGGAGGAGGAGGGCGACGACGACGAGGATGAGGAGGAGGAGGAGGAGGAGAAGGAGGAGGAAGGGGAGAAGGAGGAGGAGGAGGAGGACGAGGAGGAGGAGGAGGAGGAGGAGGAGGAGGAGGAGGGGGAGCGGGGGAAGGCTTCTTAGAGGGAGGCTGCTTCCTAGAAGGCGGTGGCTCTGCACCTATGGATAGGGCCCGCGCCTTCTGAGAAGCAGGGGTGTTTCTGAAAAGGCGCGGGCATACTGGCACAATGTCCCCTCATCGGAGGCGGGCGTCCGACCCAAACATATAGTAGAACCATGCTACTCAGTTCCAAACATCCACGGCGATCCCACGGCGCAATGAACCCATGCAGTGCACATATCTTGTGTCACATCGTTTCCCGAGCGCTACGGCCAGAAAGCGCCCGCCACAAGGGGCGTGTGCCGAAAGATTTCTAGGCGCGCGCGCGCGTCGCCCCTTTGGGGGCGACGCACACACAGTATTGGCATGTTTGGGTGGCGCCGATGATCTGGTCACAGCGTGGACCCCCGAGGGTTGGACCCTCTCCTCGGAGCTGGGCCCCCAGGGGGCACGGCGAGGGCCCCCGGGGGGCCGAGGCTCGCCTTTTAGGAGCCTCCCGTCGCGACATCTCCGTGCGCGACGACCCACGGGCTTCGGGCACTGGAGAGAGGCCTGCCAGATGCGGTCCGAGCAGATGGGGTCGGAGGATCGCGCCGCATCGCCAACCTCCTCCTCCTCATCCTCCTCCTCCTCCTCCTCGATTCCTGTTCCTTATAATCCCACCAGCCCTTTGGGCGTGAGTGGTTTAGGGAGCTCTCTCTGTTCTCAACCCCCCTTCTTCCCCTTCGGGGAGGGGTTTACCCCTCCCCCTACCCCCTCCCCCTGGACCTGGAGAGGGGGTTTCGCGGGTCGTTGGAGGGGTCTTTTTCGACTCCTGGGAGGGCTAAAAAACGACGACCCTCACGAGGATTCTGGCCCCGACGGGGGGACCCAGTTTGGCCCCTCTGCTCTTCTTTAAAGCCAAAATCATTGATTTTACTACGGTGTTGGCCCCATTTTGGCGTCCTGGGGGGGCCGCGCTCATCTTCCGTCATAGCAAAATCACTGCTTTTACAAAAGTTTTGGCCCCATGTTGTCCTTTTCAGGGTGCAGCTCTCGCTTGCGCTTCTGAGGAGGCCCCCAGATGGGGCCAAGATGGCCCCCTAAAGGCCCCCAGGAGGCTCCCAAGAGGCCTCCAAGAGGCCCCCCAGAGGCGCCCAAGCGGTCCCAGGAGGCCCCCAAGAGGCCCCCAAGAGGCCCCCAGGAGGCCTCAAGAGGCCCCAAGAGGCCCCCAAGAGGCCCCCCAGAGGCCCCAAGAGGCTCCAAGAGGCTCCCAAGAGGCCCCACGAGGAGCCCGAACGACTCACACCAGGCCGAGGGGCCCGAACGACTCACACCACGAAGAGCCCGAACGACTCACACCACAAGGAGGGGCCCGAACGACTCACACCAGGACGAGGCGCCCGAACGACTCACACCACGAGGAGCCCGAACGACTCACACCACGACGCGGGCCCCGAACGACTCACACCACGAGGAGCCCGAACGAGTCACACCAGGAGGAGGGGCCCGAACGACTCACACCAGGATGAGGGGCCCGAACAACTCACACCACGAGAAGCCCGAACGACTCACACCAGGACGAAGAGCCCGAACGACTCACACCACGAAGAGCCCGAACGACTCACACCAGGAAGAAGGGCCCGAACGACTCACACCAGGACGAGAAACCCCAAACGACTCAAATCACGAGGAGCGCTTTCTCTCCCTCCTCCTCCGCCTCGTCCTTCTCCCGCTCCCCCCACAAGGAGGATGTACAAGGAGGCGGGAGGAAGGAGGAACAGGGGAGATATGCGGGGCCAAGCGGACACACGCCTGAAAAACACGACTGTCGGCATGCTTCGCCAGAGTTGCTGCTGTGAGATGGGCTGGTGGGGATACGCGAAGCGTAAAGAATTAACTTCCCCCTGTCGCACACCGAGGCCAGTTTTAAGGCGGGCAGGGCGTTTCGCCTGAGACTTCCTCACCATTTATGATTGCGAAGCTGAAAAATGGCAACCGCTTCACAGATGGAGGGCGGGTGGTTTTCAAAATGTGGCTCTCGCCTTAGTATCCTGCACACTCCTCTTAAACATTGGCAAGAGTTTCACTGGTTGAGGGCGGGTCTTTTTCAAAATGTGGTTCTCGCCTTAGCGCCGCACACATTCGATTTAAACACTTGCAAAAGGTTCACGGATTGAGGGCGGCTCCTTTTCAAAATGTGGCTCTCGCCTTAGCGCCGCGCACACGCGTGTAAAACATTGCACGAGCTTCACGGATTGAGGGCGGGTCGTTTTCAAAATGTGGTTCTCGCCTTAGCGCCGCGCACACTCGTTTTAAACATGTGCAAGAGTTTCACGGATTCCCATGAGCATCGCACCAGAGATTGCATGTTGGAAAGATTCCGGACTTTGCGGGTGCAACAGTTATGTTGGTTCGCGGTGTTGAAGTCTCAAACATGGCGTTCTGGCACGATTCCGGATCGCCAAGACGCAGCAGTCAGGTTGATCCGTGGCTTTCAAATCCCGAGAACAGTGTTTTGGCATGCTTCAGGGTCTTCAAACGGTTGTATTCCAACGAGGCAGTTCCCTCAATGGAAATGAACCGTTGTAGGGGCCTATGAAGAGGGAGCTTGGAGCGAGGGTTAATTTCTCCATCGTTGATGACTCTTAGGTTTACACTGGTCCTCCTCCTCCTCCTCCTCCTCCTCCTCCTCCTCCTCCTCCTCCTCCTCCTCCTCTCCTCCTCCTCCTCCTCCTCCTCCTCCTCCTCCTCCTCCTCCTCCTCCTCCTCCTCCTCCTCCCTCCTCCTCCTCCCATCGCCGATGCATCGACGATGCAGCGGCGACGTCGGCGGTGCATCGGCGGCGCCGGCGTGGAGAGAGGGGCGGGCTCCACGTCGACGGTGCCTCCCCGAGGGGTCGGCGACGCGGCGCGAGGCGCCGACCCTCTCTCTGCGGGGCCTGGAGCGGCGGAGGGCGGCCGCGCGGGGGGCCCGCGCAGCGCGGGGCCCCCCGGTGTGCGCGCGTCGGCTCTCGACGAGGGCGGGCCGGGCGCGACGCCTCGGGCCGCCGGGGGCTCGGGGCAGCACGGCATCCCCGAAGGCCTCTGGTGAAGGGAGCCTGGGACACACAAAGAAAGACCCCAAGACGCCGCCAAGGAGCCCCAAGAGACCCCCAAGAGACCCCCAAGAGGCCCCTAGGAGGCCCCAAGGAGGCCCCCAAGAGGCTTCAAAGAGGCCCCATGGAGCGCTCGAGGGCCGGCGGAATGAGCGAAGCGATTAAAGAAAGAAACACAAATCACAGGATTCCCCATGTTGTCCTATTATATCTTCTGGGTTCTTGTCTTCCCCCCCACTTCCCATAGTTTCCCATCTTTTCTGGGGGGTCGACGAGGAAGTGTGTCTGTGTGTGTTTTTCCCCTCCTGATGTGAGCAGGGCTGGGGGGCCAGAGATCTTCAGAACACCCCAAGCGGACGCCAAGGGGCGCAACCAACCTGCGCGGTCAAGCTGAAACTGATGCACCACACCCGGCGTCAGGCCAAGACTTTGGACAGAAGCGAATGGTTGGATGCTGCACACCTCCGTCGGCTTCACCGGCGAAGCGTTTGACCACCTTGACGTGCCTTTTTCTTGGTGGTTCTGCAAGGGAATGCGCTATCTGACCCTCGGCCTTACTCAAGAAATATAGCTGGTCCTGCTCTGGATAGTCTTAGGTCGGGCATGTCCTCCTACAGGCGGCCTTTGGAAGAAAACTACAAAAAAGATTCAAATCATCATCAAAAATAGCCCACATAGTCGAAAAATGGTCCCCAGACCATCTGTTGACTACGTTTGAATACTCCCATGCCCGACTTGAGGCCAGTCCTGGCTGTACTTGTGGATGCCACGACAATGGACACCCTAGAAGTCCGATCATTGAAGTTAAAATGTGTGTAAAGTGTCGGGACTAGACATCTAGAATTTATCTGGCAACATGCTTCCTCTCCACTGATCGCCCTCCACAGGGCTGCACTCCCCGAGGTGGCGGAGGGCCCGTCTGGCCGTGCCTGCTGCCGCGAGGCGGTCTGCACCTCCTCCCGCGGCGCCCCTGGCCGGCGGCGCCTGCCCCCGCGCCGGCGCGGCGCCCCCCCCGCGGGCGCCTGCCCCCGCCTGCCCCGCGGCGCCTCCCTCTGCGCCGCCGCTCGGGGGGCGGCGGCCGCCGTCGGCGGCCTCCCGGGCGGGCCGCGCCCCGCTCGCCTGCGGGGCCGGAGCCCGCACGCGCCCGCCGCCCGGGGAGGGCCGACGCCCCGGGGCTCCAGGAGGCGACGGGCGCGCAAGGGCTCGGGGCGGCCCCAATAGGGGGGGGAGCCAGGCCCGCCCTGGAGGAGCGGTGCCGCTCCTCCCCGCGCCTCTCGACTTCAGCATGCGCGCGGGACGACGCGCCGCCGTGTGATCAGACTTTTCCGCCGTCGGCCGCGACTCCTCCTCCTCCTCCTCCTCCTCCTCCTCCTCCTCCTCCTCCTCCTCCTCCTCCTCCTCCTCTCCTCCTCCTCCTGATCATCATCGTCATCATCATCATCATCATCATCATCATCATCATCATCATCATCAGCAGCAGCAGCATCAGCATCATCAGCATCATCATCATCATCATCATCAGCATCATCATCATCATCATCATCATCATCATCAGCATCAGCATCATTATCATCATCATTATCATCATCATAATCATCATCATCATCATCATCATCATCATCATCATCATCATCATCATCATCATCATCATCATCATCATCATCATCATCCATCTCCTCCCTCCTCCTCCTCCTCCTCCCTCCTCCCTCCTCCCTCCTCCCTCCTCCTCCCCCTCCTCCTCCTCCTCCTCCTCCTCCTCCCTCCTACTCCTCCTCCTCCTCCTCCTCCTCCTCCTCCTCCTCCTCCTCCTCCTCCTCGACGGTGAGATCGAGGTTGGGGGAGAGGGTGCCGAAACGCGCCCAGAGTCCAGCAAGGCATGAGGGTGCAAACCCGACTTGTCTGGCTGATGCTCTGGGGGGGCCTGTGCTCAGGGGAGGCTGCAGCACCGCTCAACGATGTGCTGTTTAACCGAACCTGCAGGGTGGGTCCTTTCCCAAATCCGTGCTTCGGTGCGGATCGTAAGCGCGCCTCGTCTCCGTCGTCGTCGTCGTCGGCGTCGTCGTGGTCGTGGTGCGTATTGCTCTGCTCGGGATTCTGTTTCCCTTATGCAGTGACCACCACCCACCCTCCTCCTCCTCCTCATCCTCCTCCTCCTCCTCCTCCTCCTCCTCCTCCTCCTTCTCCTCCTCCTCCTCCTCCTCCTCGACGGTGAGATCGGGGGTCCAGTAGGGGGCGGGGGCTCAAGAGATACAAACAAAAATGGTTGCACTGCTTGTCCAAGGGGGACGCACAGCCTCGGGACGTCGGTGCCCCTGGCGGTGGACGCGCCCAAGCGCTGGCCTTTTGGGCCTTTGCAGCCCCCTTCCTGCGCCACGGGCGCCACTGGCGCCGCAGGGGCGGCCTCGCCGCCGCCAGCATCTCGAGCCTCCTCCGGGGGCTTCGGCTCCGCGACCGCAGGCGCCGCAGCGGCCGCATCCGGCCTGGCACCACCCTCAGTCCCTGCGACGCCGTCCTCGTCCCGCTGGCCCTTCCGACTGGACAGCTCCCTCGGTGCGGCCAGCGGCTTCGTCGCAGCCCGTCGTCTTGCCGCGGCGTCCTCTGGCGGCGGCGAGGCCCTGGCCGCGCCGATGGCCGACGGCGCCTGCAGACCTCGCGGCTTGGCCTCGGCCGCGGTCCGGCACCGTGCCTCCTGGCACGCCGAGGCGTGGTAGGATGCCAGGTGCTGTTTGGTAGGGCGTCTTTCGGGTGCGCGACAGGCCCCCGCATCTCCCCACACGCCGCCGCGTACACAGACCATCACTGTCCAGAGGCTCCCTGGGCGGCCCCGACGCCGCCCTGGAGCCTTCCATTCCGAGACGGCCCGGGAGGGCAGCCAAGGCTGCCAAGATGGCGCAGCATTGCCTCAAGACGCGCCCATGAGCCCCCAAGAAGCGCCCGAGAGGTCCCAAGAGGCATCCAGCAGGTTACAAGACATCCGCAATACGCACTCCGAGGAGGCCCTCGAGAGGCCAAGGGCACGGATTGCCATTCGGTTTCGTATGCCTTTCGATGTCCACGCTCTTCGGTCGAAGACCAGTCCACGTGCTGTTTTCGAGGACCCAAGGAAGCCCACTGAGCCACCGAGAGAGCGAAGAGTGCCCTCAGACGACCCAGGGTGGCCACAAAACAGCTCCAAGCTGGTGCAAGAGAGCCTGCGGAGAGGGCACGCCAGCCCAAGAAGGCTCCAAGATGGTATCACGACGGCCTCACAAGACTCCTAGGCGGCCAGTAGGGCCCGAAGACAGCCCAATCGGACCACGAGGACCCCTAAACGGCCCAAGAGTGCCCCAATGGACCCCAGGACTGCCCCACAGGAGCCCAAGACAGCCCCGAGACGGCCCAAGCAGCCCCCTATGAGAGCTCCTCAGGAAGGGGAGACGAGAGATGTCACATGTGAGGGTCGTCTGGGCCGTGCCCCAGGGGTGGCCACACAGAGTGCTTCGCTGGCATGATGGCCGCCTGGGAGGTCTTCACAGAGTCGCCACACAGAGTGCGTCGCTGGCATGGTGGCGGATCTGCCGCAGGCACCTGTATAAGCTTGGTGCTCGCGTCCGCGCCGTCCTCGCCCCGCTGGCTGTTCGGATCAGACACCCCGCTCCGCACGACCGAGCCCGGTCGGGAGGCCTGCGGCTTAGTCGCAGCATGCTGCCTCGCCGCGGCACCCTTGGGCGGCGGCGAGGTCCTAGCCGCCCTTGGGGCTGACGGTGTCTGCAGACCTCGCGGCTTGGCCTTAGCCGCGGCAGGCTTGGTGCTCGCGTCCACGCCGTCCTCATCCCGACTCCTCAGGGCCGCCTCCAGCGCGGCACCAACCTCGGTCTTGGCGACGCCGTCCTCGTCCCCGCTCCTCAGAGCCGCCTCCAGCGCGGCACCAACCTCGGTCTTGGCGACGCCGTCCTCGTCCGAGCCCGGTCGGGAGGCCTGCAGCTTAGTCGCAGCATGCTGCCTCGCCGCGGCACCCTTGGGCGGCGGCGAGGTCCTAGCCGCCCTTGGGGCTGACAGTGTCTGCAGACCTCGCGGCTTGGCCTTAGCCGCGGCAGGCTTGGTGCTCGCGTCCACGCCGTCCTCATCCCGACTCCTCAGGGCCGCCTCCAGCGCGGCACCAACCTCGGTCTTGGCGACGCCGTCCTCGTCCCCGCTCCTCAGAGCCGCCTCCAGCGCGGCACCAACCTCGGTCTTGGCGACGCCGTCCTCGTCCGAGCCCGGTCGGGAGGCCTGCAGCTTAGTCGCAGCATGCTGCCTCGCCGCGGCACCCTTGGGCGGCGGCGAGGTCCTAGCCGCCCTTGGGGCCGACGGTGTCTGCAGACCTCGCGGCTTGGCCTTAGCCGCGGCAGGCTTGGTGCTCGCATCCACGCCGTCCTCGTCCCCGCTCCTCAGAGCCGCCTCCAGCGCGGCACCAACCTCGGTCTTGGCGACGCCGTCCTCGTCCCCGCTCCTCAGAGCCGCCTCCAGCGCGGCACCAACATCGGTCTTGGCGACGCCGTCCTCGTCCGAGCCCGGTCGGGAGGCCTGCAGCTTAGTCGCAGCATGCTGCCTCGCCGCGGCACCCTTGGGCGGCGACGAGGTCCTAGCCGCCCTTGGGGCCGACGGTGTCTGCAGACCTCGCGGGGCCTTAGCCGCGGCAGGCTTGGTGCTCGCGTCCACGCCGTCCTCATCCCGACTCCTCAGGGCCGCCTCCAGCGCGGCAGGTCTTGGCGACTCGGTCCTCAGAGCCGCCTCCAGCGCGGCACCAACCTCGGTCTTGGCGACGCCGTCCTCGTCCGAGCCCGTCGGAGGCCTGCAGCTTAGTCGCAGCATGCTGCCTCGCCGCGGCACCCTCCTCGAGGTCCTAGCCGCGGGTGACGGTGTCTGCAGACCTCGCGGCTTGGCCTTAGCCGCGGCAGGCTTGGTGCTCGGTCTCCTGACTCCTCAGGGCCGCCTCGCGCGTCGGTCTTGGCGACGCCGTCCTCGTCCCCGCTCCTCAGAGCCGCCTCCAGCGCGGCACCAACCTCGGTCTTGGCGACGCCGTCCTCGTCCGAGCCCTGTCGGGAGGCCTGCAGCTTAGTCGCAGCATGCTGCCTCGCCGCGGCACCCTTGGGCGGCGGCGAGGTCCTAGGGGCCGACGGTGTCTGCAGACCTCGCGGCTTGGCCTTAGCCGCGGCAGGCTTGGTGCTCGCGTCCACGCCGTCCTCGTCCCCTCCTCAGAGCCGCCTCCAGCGCGGCACCAACCTCGGCTTGCGACGCCCGTCCTCGTCCCCGCTCCTCAGAGCCGCCTCCAGCGCGGCACCAACCTCGGTCTTGGCGACGCCGTCCTCGTCCGAGCCCGGTCGGGAGGCCTGCAGCTTAGTCGCAGCATGCTGCCTCGCCGCGGCACCCTTGGGCGGCGGCGAGGTCCTAGCCGCCCTTGGGGCCGACGGTGTCTGCAGACCTCGCGGCTTGGCCTTAGCCGCGGCAGGCTTGGTGCTCGCGTCCACTCCGTCCTCATCCCGACTCCTCAGGGCCGCCTCCAGCGCGGCACCAACTTCGGTCTTGGCGACGCCGTCTTCGTCCCAGCTCCTCAGAGCCGCCTCCAGCGCGGCACCAACCTCGGTCTTGGCGACGCCGTCCTCGTCCGAGCCCGGTCGGGAGGCCTGCAGCTGAGTCGCAACATGCTGCCTCGCCGCGGCACTCTGAGGCTTCGAGGCCCTAGCCGCGCCCAGGGCCGACGGTGTCTGCAGACCTCGCGGCTTGGCCTTAGCCGCGGCAGGCTTGGTGCTCGTGTACGCGCCATCCTCGTCCCGACTCCTCAGGGCCGCCTCCAGCGCGGCACCAACCTCGGTCTTGGCGACGCCGTCCTCGTCCCCGCTCCCCAGGGCCGCCTCCAGCGCGGCACCAACCTCGGTCTTTGCGACGCCGTCGCCGTCCCGACTCCTCAGGGCCGCCTCCAGCGCGGCACCAACCTCGGTCTTGGCGACGCCCTCCTCGTCCCCGCTCCTCAGGGCCGCCTCCAGCGCGGCACTAACCTCAGTCTTTGCGATGCCGTCACCGTCTGGCTGGCCCTTCCCACCAGACATCCCTCTCGGTGCGACCGAGCCAGGACGTCGGGCGGCCGGCGGCTTAGTCGCAGCCCGTTGTCTTGCCGCGGCGTCCTTCGGTGGCGGCGAGGTCCTAGCCGCGCCAGGAGCCGACGGCGTCTGCAGACCTCGCGGTTTGGCCTCAGCCGCGGTCCGCCACCGTGCCTCATGGCACGCCGAGGCGTGGTAGGATGCCAGGTGCTGTTTGGTAGGGCGTCTTTCAAGTGTGCGACAGGCGCCCCATCTCCCCACACGCACTCCGAGGCTTCCAAGACGGCCCAGGATGGCAACCAAGGCTGCCAAGATGGCGCAGCACTGGGCTCTCCATTCCAAGACGGCCCAGGATGGCAACTAAGGCTGCCAAGATGGCGCAGCATTGCCTCAAGACGCGCCCATGAGCCCCCACGAGGCCTCCAACAGACGTCGAGATTCTCCCAAGACGCACTCCAGGATGCCCTGAAGAGGTCAAAAGCAATGGTAACCTGAGGTTCTTCAATGAATTACGATTTCCACGCTCTTCGGTCGAAGACGGGTGCACTTGCGGTCTTCGAGGACCCAAAGGGGCCCGCTGAGAGCCTCAAGAGGGCCATAGACGCCCTGGGACGGCCCCAAGAGAGCACCAGGCTAGCCCAAGAGAAGAGCCTCCGGGACCCAAGACGGCCTAAGAGGGCCCCAACGCGGCCTAGCAAGGCCACAAGACGCTCCCACGACGGCCAAGAGAAAGACGGCCCAATCGGACCACGAGGACCCCTAAACGGCCCAAGAGTGCCCCAGTGGACCCCCAGGATGCCCCACAGGAGCCCAAGACAGCCCCGAGACGGCCCAAGCAGCCCCCTATGAGAGCTCCTCAAGAAGGGGAGACGAGAGATGTCACATGTGGCGGCCGTCTGGGCCGTGCCCCAAGGGTGACCACACAGAGTGCTTCGCTGGCATGCTGGCCGCCTGGGAGGTCTTCACAGAATCGCCACACAGAGTGCGTCGCTGGCATGGTGGCCGATCCGCCGCAGGCACCTGCATGGGCTTGGTGCTCGCGTCCGCGCCGGCCTCGCCCCGGGGGCTCTGCGCACCGGCCACCCCGCTCCGCACGCCCGAGCCCGGTCGGGAGGCCTGCGGCCGAGTCGCAGCCTGCTGCCTCGCCGTGGCGCCCTTGGGCGGCGGCGAGGTCCTAGCCGCGCCCAGGGCCGACGGTGTCTGCAGACCTCGCGGCGGGGCCTCCGCCGCGGCCGCCGCCCGCATCTGCGCCTCCCTCGGCGGCTCGCCCAGCGGCCCTCCTCAGGAGCGATCGTGCCCCCGTCTCGCGCGCACAGGGGCGGCTGCAGTGGCGCGCTCGGCGCGGCGCGCGACATGGCAGGCCAAGGGGCTCCGCTTCAGCAGGTGCGCAGTCGGCCGACTGAGCCAGAGGCACTGGTCCGACTCCCCGTCCCGCCCCCTCTCCCTTCGGACGACGCCAACCATGCCACACGAGCGCGGGCATACATTCCCGACGTCGGCGCTGTCCCCAGGGGCGATCCCAGGGAACACGAGGGTTTGGGCCCGCCCGAGGCCCCGGATCTGGCCGGCCTCGACGCGCCCCCCCGCAGCGCCGCCCGCGGCATCTCCAAACCGGCCCTCGTCGGACAACAACTCGGGCCGCGCCCAGCCTGCTGCACGCTTCCGCGCGCGCAGCAGGGGCGGAGGGAGGGGCACCCAGAGGGGACACCCAGAAGGGGAGAGGCCCGAGGAGGGGGAAGGGAGGAGAAGAAGGTGAGGGAGGAGGAGGAGGAGGAGGAGGAGGAGGAGGAGGAGGAGAATGGGAGGGAGGGATTTTTGGATTGCAAGCGCGATGAACCTGTGACGGTTGTCGCGAGAGAGTGGCGCTGCAGCTAGCAGAAGCTTTAAAGATCAGTCAGGCAGGCCGGCCGAACTAAAAGACATAAATCTGCACGGGCACCAAGCGGGGCAAGGTCAGCACAGCACGAGCGCCCCCCGCATCAGAGCGGATGGAACGCGTCGAAACAAGGCATGTAGATCGTACCTCCCCCCCGCTACTAACAATACTAACCCTGCCACCCGACCCATAGTAGGCGATCCGCACTCACGGCGGCCTAACAGGGACAGTATCGCAGACTCGCAACCGTGGTCAGTGAGACAAACAGAAGGCGACGGTCCTGCGACAGGCTTCTTTGGCAGCGAGCCTCGCCGGCCCCTCTGCCCTCCCTGCAACGTGCACCCGCCCTGCTACCCCATCCTGCACGGGTGGAGGCACAGCCCACCTGGCGGCGGGCGCGACGACGACGGCGCCGAGAGCCCTGCCACGGGCCAAGCGCTACGGGCGCTTGGTTTGGTCGCGGCTCGACCCCCGAGACAGGACAGAGGGGGAGGGGAGGAAGACGCTCTCTCGGAGGGGAGGAGGCGAGGAGGCGATTGCTGCTACACTGCCGCGCCGCTCGCTCGCGCCGGGCGGCGGGGGCGGCGGGGGCGGGCGTGCGGCGGCGGGGCGGCGGGGGCGCGCGCGCGCTCCACTCTCCCCTCACGTCCACTACCCTCGTCGCACCCCCCAACCTCACTACCCCTCCACACGTCCGTCCTTCGAAACAGTCAAGGTCCGAAAAAAAGAGGCGGGGACTCCTGCAAAATTCACCTGAGGCTGCAAACATCGGATACCCTGAAGACCGAAGTTGGACGACAGACATCAAATCCAAGGTCCAAGAGAGGCAGTCTGCAGCAAAACTGATCACGGTGAAAGTCAGAACTACTGTGGCGCGTCTCTTGGAAGTCAGTCGGCTATGGCATAGCAAGCTCATTCAGCGGACGCGATTCCAGCTCAGCTCGAAACTGACGGATGAGCTGGGGGTTATCTGTATACCACCACGGGACTGGCCAAAAACGGGGAGGGCACGCATTAACCATAGCACCAGCCACAGAGCGCTGGTCTTGGCAAAGCCCGAAACACTGGCAACAGAGGTGGAGAGATCAGGGCGCGGCCACACAAGTACCCCAGGATGTACCTGCGGCCTCCATCCTGACAGCCTGCTCACAAACCAGCAAAAGGCGGGAACCACGGAGTTCCCAAGTTTCTGCCTTGGCTATTCTGCCTTACAGCTGTCTAGTCGTGCGCGTTATCGAACAGCCCGACCCCGAAATCGGGCTGGAAAGTCCAGGGGGCTATTCGCTGAGCGAGGCGAATCCGACGTCGCTCTCTGGCTTGCGCACGCTTGGCAGCAATCAGAGCTCGCATTTCTGGCGCGAGCTCCACGGGCTGCGAAGGTGGCGGAGGGAGCGGAGAGGGGGGAGAGGGTACAAAGGGCGGAGCAGACGAGCCGGGTGGGGGCAACACAGTGCCATCCAGGAATGAGAGCGCATCGGCATATTCCTGTTCCTCTGAGGCCTCGATCGGGCCAGGGTCCCGCGGCTCCGCAGTGGGATCATAAACAACGCCTGCATCTGCAGATTCGGTGGACGGCGGTTCGGGGGGCAAAAACCTGTGGCGCTCTGGATCAGCACGAACCCTCCGAGACCGAGAATCGACAAAGTCGGGCGCCCAAGACTCGTCAGTACCGAGATATGGGTCCCAAGCTACATAAAAGGCTGAAAGGGACCCACGAAGCTCCTCCTCCTCCTCCCTCATGTCCTCTGGCAATGCATCATCGTCACACGTCGCACGCATATGGTTGATCGCATCTGTGATACCGTCGGCCAATACTCGACATAGAGCGGGAGGGTGGGTCTTCTTTTTGGCGGTACGCCACTCGTCTCGGGCCCGATCGAACCCCATGAGCACCTCGTGGGCCCCACGTCCGTGAGAACAACTTCCACGTCCCGGGGCCTCCAGAAGCCTGCCAGAAAGGGTTTCCATACGCAACGCCAGAATACGGGTGGGAGCGCGAGCGACCTGGCCGTGTTCGCATTGATCGAAGTCTGTCACAGACGCAGCCGGGGAGGCCATGATGGCCCGCAGGGGCGGGCAGAAGAAGGAACTTACAGCTGCCTGCCGCCAGCCAGCTGGCATGGGATGCTCCATCCAGCAACAAGTGCCCACAAGCAAATGTTCGGCGAAAAGCTCAATCATGGCTCCAAGAAGCTCGTTGCCCACACGTAACTGTTCCATGTGGCGCGGCGTAACCGACAGCAAGCCCCAGAAGTCATCGTGGGATCGGAGCGGTGGGGGGCCCTTGTCAAGGGCCCAGCGCATGGCAGCCCACGTCTCGCACGGGGGCCCGCCTCCTGACAGCACAACACGTTTGGCCCGAATATATCCCTTCCAAATGTCCAGAGATTCACGGCGCATCATATTGCCAAGAACGGGATCGATGGCGATGTCGATCGAAAGTACATATACAGCGAAATCGGTATGATACTCCTCCATTTCTAAGCAAGCCTGAATATCCCCTGGCCGGCGTCTCCCACAGTATAGGTTAAGTATGTAGTATTCTGACCGTCGGATCGCAGACGGCAAAACCTGAGCAGCTGCATATGTGTATACTGCTCGGTCAGAAACATACGCGTCGGGTAACGTTCCGTCTGTACTGGTGGGTACTGGGCGGGAGGGGGAGCGCCGATGGGCGGGTCTGGGGCCGGCGGCATAAGTGCCGCGCAGGCGGCAGGTGTGAGGTAGGGGTCAGATTCAAGTAAAACCTGGCGGGCGTACTCCTGTGGGACCAACGTCACAAGGTCGGTGGCCAGTTGAGTGAGCGGCCCCAGTAACCGCGTCGTGGGTACAATCACATGTCGGCGGGGAATCCTGATGTGGGGTACAGCTCCGGTTGGTCGAGACGGTGTAGTCGAGTCGTCGAGGTGGTGCGCTGGATTGTCCATAGTTAAGAGGCCGCCCAGCAAGCATCGAGGGGAGTCGATCGACAGGTGGTCGATGAGGTGGGGTCTGGCGTTGAACTGTAACAGACACACTGCACACGATCCGTCCCGAGCTGCATAACCGCGCGCAAGTGTCGCAAGCTCTCGGTGCGCACGGGCAACATGTGTGCGTATCGCTCGATGTCGTGCGAAGACCTCACCACACCACGGGCAATCCAGGGTAGCTGTCTGCACAGGAGGCGGCGGTGGGACGATAAGCCCGCGCTCGTCGGTATACACACGTTCTGGCACACCTGCTGGCCTTACAGCTGCAAGAAACTGGGTCTCCATATGGGAGGCGAGCTCTTTCCTGGAAAGGTACTGCGTGCACGCATGCATCGCAACTTGTATGATGCGCTTTCAGGCTGGCTGACTCCGTCGTATGAACGTTTCCCAGGGTTTGAGGTCGTCAGCTGGGGCTGGTAGGTCCTGGCACTGTTTGACGGCACATCGTAACCAGGCCAGGTCCTGGATCCACTGTCCAAGGGTAGTGCGCTCGCGTGCGGGGGCGCCCGGGGCAGCATGCCACTCTGCGGCAACGAGGGAGAAAGCCAGGAGGGGCCCCGTATGATAGAGCGAGCCGAGAAGTCGGAGGCGCGCGGCACGGAGGGTGTTGGCAGGGGTAGGTCTGCGCAGCCTCGCCAGCACAAGGGCGTCGGACACCTGAGAATCGTGCTCTTGGAAACGGACTCGGGCCACAGCTCGGTAAACCTTCATGGTTTCCAGATGGGCCAACTTGGCCTCCGAAGTCGTTAGTACCCCCAAGCCCCTGCATTGTACAGCCGCCCTGACATGACCAAACTCGTCCGCCATGCACATGCCATGCTGTGTGTCGTGCGCTCTTGGTGCCTGGCCCGCGCCATTTGACAAGCGCGGCAGTCTTAGACGGCCCGATGTTGAGGATGTGTCCACGGCGTGCGAAAGCCTCTGAAACCATAACCATCACCTGACTAAGCGCATCATACATCTGTTCAGCAGGCAGTATGAGCATGACTGTGCCATCGTCGGCATATGAAATGTCGACGATGGGGAGGTCAGCAGGAGGGCTGGGGTCGGTACTGTCAGTAACAAGCGCGGTGATGGATCTCTGCTCTGTGCGCGGTAGCATGTACGGCGTGCCCTCACCCAGCATGCGTGCGCGTACCTCCTGCATGCAGTCGGCCATCTGAATCTCGAAGAGGACATCCGCAAGTGGCTGGCCAGGAAAGAAGGACCGCTGGGGTAACGAGACCTGGCCAGATCCCTCGTAAATAAACCAGGGTGCCTGGTAGCACTGCTCAACCTGGGCCACGGTGTGAGAATCGACGTCGGAGGCTGACAGGGCCGCTGCACGCTGTCGCAGTCGATCGGTCAGCTGTTGCATGGCGGCCGGGGGTAAGCCTGCGGCGCGCACCAGGGTAGCCACAGCAAGGTCGTCGAGGTCGGTTTCGCGGTGGGCACGCACCACGAGCTCCCGAATGGCCCTGTAAAAGGCCTGAACGACGTCCAAAAAGAGGGCCCCGAACGACATCTTCCGAAGTTTGGCCAGGGACTGCGAAACGCGGAACACCAGGGACGCA